ACATGTTAGTTACACAATGGTAGATGAGCAGCAAGAACATTTCGACTTCAAGAAGCAAAGCATCTAACTTAATTTTACACAGCTAGTGGCAGAGCTAGAAATCAAACCTGGGTCTGTTGGACTCCAAATCCCACATATTTTATTGGCTGCTTTCACCATACTGTATCTTCCAGGCAGTAGAAACCATTTGATACAAAATTAATAGAGAACCTCAAATTGACTCTTCATTTTAAAAAGTGGTGGATCCTAGGTAGGTGTTAAGTCTGAAGCTACTTTCTGCAGGAAAGTTTACCATCTGTTACCTATTTGGAGAATTTCTCTACCAAGCTGCCCAACTGGTTGATGATGAAAACATTTAAATCTGGTTATTGTAGTGAAAGAATTTTTTTTTTCTCCAGCAGGCTCTAGTGCATAAATATTGTTGATGTTCTTAAAAATGAAATGAATACAGTAGGAATCATTCTAATATCCATATTGGCAGAAGTTAGAAGCTTTTCATGCTGGAATGAAGAGGGGGTAATGAATAACCCTCGAACTGTGTGTCATTGCTCTACTGGGGCAAGATACATTTTATTAAAAACAGAACTTTGCCCATTGGTAGAAAGTTGTTGCATTGATAGAACACCCAACGTGCTTGCCACTGGCACTCAGCACAGTGTCTAGTAAACACTCAGTAATTGGTAGATTTTATTATGACTTGTTACTCGGTAAATGTTTTCCCCCAGTGAATGACAGCTGTTTGTTCATCCTTCACTTGTTCTGTATTTATTGAGTGCCTACTGAATGGACAAATCTATACTAGGCACTGAGGATACAGCTGCAAACAAGGCAAAAGTACCTGCCCTCATGGAGCTTATGTTCCAGAGGGGAGATTGATAATAAATGCACAGACATAGAATATCAGTGACCATAGCTGCTCTGAAGAAAAGTTGAATAGGAGAAACAGGCTAGAGAGAAAGATGGTGTGGGTGGGTTCTTCTAGATTCTGTGATCAGGGAGGTCTTTGCTTGGTTAGGATGTCTACAGAGTGACCTGAATACACAGGGAAGCAAGCAGCAGGGAGATATGGCAATGCTGCTGCCTGGATTAGGACTAAGCATGAGACAGACCTGAAGACAAACCAGGTTTTCTTCGTAACCCAGCCTTTCATTCTGTTACAGACCATGGTCTCTCTACAGACCTTAACTCACTTGTAGTCTGGGGATAAACCTCGTGCTTAAAAACAGCAAGTAGAGTCTTTGGCATTGTGAAGGATAATTAAAAGTTTCATTATTTACCTCAGATTACCATCAAAGAAGTAGAGTAATTCTTTTCGTTTGAATGTGACAGTGTTACTACATGCCAGGCTCTTGTATAAGAGGAGGGGTGAGCTCGCGTTTGGCGGTGTGGTCGGGTGATGTTTTGTGTGAGAGGATAGGTGAGCTCACGTTTGGTGGTGTGATCGAGTGATGTTTTGTGTGAGAGGATGGGTGAACTTGTGTTTGGTGGTGTGGTCAAGTGATGTTTTGAGAGATTGGGTGAACTCGTGTTTGGCAGTGAGATCGAGTGATGTTTTGTGTGAGAGGATGGGTGAGCTCACGTTTGGCGGTGTGATCGAGTGATGTTTTGTGTGAGGATGGTTGAGCTCGTGTTTGGCGGTGTGATCGAGTGATGTTTTGTGTGAGGATGGTTGAGCTCGTGTTTGGCGGTGTGATCGAGTGATGTTTTGTGTGAGGATGGTTGAGCTCACGTTTGGCGGTGTGATCGAGTGATGTTTGTGTGAGGATGGTTGAGCTCGTGTTTGGCGTGTGATCGAGTGATGTTTTGTGTGAGGATGGTTGAGCTCACGTTTGGCGGTGTGATCGAGTGATGTTTTGTGTGAGGATGGTTGAGCTCGTGTTTGGCGGTGTGATCGAGTGATGTTTTGTGTGAGTGGATGGTTGAGCTCGCGTTTGGCGGTGTGATCGAGTGATGTTTTGTGTGAGAGGATGGTTGAGCTCGCGTTTGGCGGTGTGATCGAGTGATGTTTTGTGTGAGGATGGTTGAGCTCGCGTTTGGCGGTGTGGTCGAGTGATGTTTTGTGTGAGAGGATGGGTGAGCTCGCGTTTGGCGGTGTGGTCGAGTGATGTTTTGTACTAGAGGATGGCTGAGCTTATGTTTGGTGGTATGATGAAGAGATGTTTTGCTGTAGGGGTCAAGGGGAGAAGTCTGAGTGCGGAGAAAGATAAAGAAAATGTGGCTTCTGTTTTCGGCAGAGCCAATCAAATGGAAAGGGCACCAAATAATGGGAAACAGGGAGAACAAAAAGGAAGGGGGAAGAGAGTTGGACTGTTTGGCCTGTGTGGAACTGGTAACCAGGTTGGTCTTGAAGGGCATTTTAACAGACATTTGGTATTGGACTGAGGCAGAGTTTGGGGATGTCTCCACCAGCTTCTCTTTCTCAGATTTGGTTTAGGGGCATGAAGGAGGAATAATAGATTCTCTCCCCTGCTACTGCTAAAGTGGAGAATAATGGTGGGAGGATTCAGAGACTTTTCAAAGTCCAAGGTGTTCACTCTGAATTGAACACCACAGATTTTTCTTGTTGTTTTTCCTTCCTCCCAGGAAAAAGGAAAAATATTTACTTTCACTGCAAATATTTAAGCATTTGTTGACTTCATTTTCACAAAAGAATTAAAACGTGGGAAAACCAAATTTCCCCCCTCCCACTGCTTTTGTTTTGGCCTTTGCTTAATTTTGTAACATTAATTCTTTGATCCTTCCAACCATAAATCATTTAAGTGACTTTGATTAAATAACCACTTAACTTCCCAAATTCTTTGTATCATGATTGTACTTCTTGTCATATTTTATACAATTATAATGAGGTTTTACAAAGCAGGTTCAGATGCCAGCGCACCTGGGCTTCTCCTGGCACACTGTGATTTAAAGCAAGTTATTTCACCTCTCAGGGCTTAGCTTTAGCATCGATAAGAAAAGCTTGGTATTTAATACACATCCCCCACAGAGACGGTGTCGGGAATTTTATTCAGTTAGTGTTTATAAAGGATCTTTATTGGCAACCCCAGGGAGGGTGATATACGTGAATATTTTAATATGCAATGAACAATCTGCTGTTTGGGCCGTCTAGGCAATGTTATATAATGACCTATTTTTTTGGCTTCATATCCCCTACAGAGACCTTTCTCTGGCTTCTCTGGCTTCTCTGTTGTTATCCCAGCAGCTAAGAAATCAGGGGGTAACCGCCCAGGCTGAACACATGGCAAATTCTATGCCTACTGTGTTCTTCTTTAGTGTGAAGGTTCCAATGATGTCTGCACAGGCCTGGGCAGCAACTTCCAATGTTTTGAGGGTTAATGCAAATCTGTGAAATACAAAACCTCCAGTGTAGCTCACAGGTTTTCTCAAAAATGCTAGCAAATTACCCTTAATTTTGCTCACTGTACGGCTTTATTAGTAGTACTGGTTGACTCCCACTGAGATTTATGCGTTGCTGCATTGCAAAGGTTGAACCATTTCAGCCAGGCAGGGTTTTCCTGTGACCCCTGCGTTTACAGTAACTATTAAAGACGACAGTAAAACATATATAATGGACATGGTTCAAATATTTCCCACTGCTTCTGAAATGATTATGTCTCCACAAGGGCAAAAGACCAGTGAAATCTGGGCTTAAGGCGAGGCAGCAACAAAAACCACGGGTTTTTAAGTTTAAGCTAATATTTAACATAGGATAAGGACTACTGGTAAATATTGATTTATCTTCTCTCCTATTCCCCTAGGGGCTTAATCTCCCTGCTCAGAACATTAAACAATTGTTTATTATTCCACCAGTATTATAAAAACAATACTAGAATTCTTTTCTTTTCTTTTCTTTTTTTTTTAACAAATAAAAAGTATCCAGTATCCCAGCAGGACAGAGCAAACGCGTAAGTGTTGAGTGACACACCCACACGAGAGCAGACCTTGTTGTAGCTCTGTTTTTTTACAGGGACCTGCTTCTTTGCCTGGTCAGGACACAGATTTTTCGCTGCAACAATACTTGAAAGAGTTCTTTTAACTCTAACATTAGGAGGTAGCAAAAAGGATTAGTAGGAAATGATTGAGCCCACAGTGGCCACATGAGCCGTGCTGTCTGATAAGCACTTTCTGAGATGATGGCAGTGTTCTATATCTGTGTGGTATGGTTGTATACGTGAACCACATGTGGCTGTTGAGCATTTGAAATGTGGCTGGTGCAAATGGGAAACCGAATGTTTAGTTTTATTTCATTTTTAATCATTTAAATTTAAATAGCCACACATGGCTAGTGATTATTAGCACAGACTGATAGTTTCCTAAGAGTTAACCTACTTATACACTCACATATGTGCAATAAAGGACAGCTAAAATACAAGAGTGGTTCTGATGTTACCGTGAGCCCCACCCCCGCTCACCTGGGGAGTGGCAAGTCCCAGGACTATTTGGATCTCCCTTTGTGGTTGAACTTCGTCCCTGCTTCTCTTCTGTAATCCACCTTGGCTGCTATTTTTTAAATAACAATTTTATTGCAATACAATTCATTTATTGAAAGTGTACAATTCAATGGTTTTTGCTATATTCCCAAGGTTAGGCAACCTTCACCACTATTAATTTTATAACATTTTCATTACCCCACACAGAAAGCCTGTACCTATTACCAATCACTCCCAGACCCTAGCACTAGGTAACTGCTAATCTACTTTCTGTCTCTACAGATTTGCCTACTCTGGATGTTTTATATAAATGGATATTGCCTACTCTGGATATTTTCTATAGATGGTCTTTTCTGGCTGGCTTCTTTCACTTAGCACAGGATTTTCAGGGCTTACCTATGTTGTAGCACGTAACAGTACCTTATTCCTTGTTATGAAAAAATAAGATTCCATTGTGTGGATATACATTTGTTTATCCACTCACCAGCTGATGGTCATTTGTGTTGTTCCCACTTTTGACTTTTGTCTTAGTCTGTTCAGGCTGCTATAACAAAAGTCCCATAGACTGTGTAATTGATAAACAACAGCAATTTATTGCTCACAGTTCTGGGGGCTGGGAAGTCCAAGATCAAGGAGTGAGCACATTCAGCGTCTGGTGAGGGATCACTCTGTGCTTCATAGATGATATTTTCTTGCTGCATCTTCACATGGTGAAGGGGGCAAACAAACTCCCTCTGGCCTCTTTTATAAAGGCATTCATCCCATTCATGATGACTCTTATGACTTAATCACCTCCCAAAGGCCCTACCTCTTAATACTATCACATTGGGGATTAGGTTTCAACATATAAATTTGGGGGTGACACAAACATTCAGACCATAACAGGTATTATGAGTAATGCTGCCTTGAGTGTTTATGTGCGAGTTGACATGTGTATGTATATAAGGTAACTCTATAACTTTTTGTAACTGCCAGGCTGTTACCTAAAGCAGATGCACCATTTAAATGCTCATTAGCAGTGTCTGAGGGTTCCAATTTCTCCACATCCTCATCAGCATTTGTTATTATCTATTTGATTATAGTTGTCCTAGTAGGTGTGAGGTAGTATTATTTCATTGTAGGTTTGATTTGCAATTCCCTGATGTCACATTGCTCTTTGCCTTCTGTCCATTCACATTCTGATCAGGCCCGTTCTGCTGGTACATTTGCTCTGGGGATGCAGTTTTGCAAGAAAACAGCAGGTTCCCTTTTAGTTGTTTCTTCAGAAATTATAGAAGTCACTTACTCTATCGTTGCTTTTGTAGCACAGTTTCAAACTGACAGCTGGGGTGATTGTATCTAACCATTTTCATGCTCTGTTAGATGTCAAATACATTTACACTGTTCAGGGTCAGATTTCTACATAGGGATCCCTTCCCCTAAGAGCAGCCTCTGTAAGGAAAAGTAGTATGAGTCAGTCCTAGGAAAATGCTATTTTAAATTTCCTGTTACAAAAGAATTTCCCCCAAAGTCTTTTCTCAAACAGGCACAAAATATTCTAAGATCACCTTCAAATTTTAGTGGTTTAAATGATTCTGAATATGCAGAGAAAGAAGCAAAACGCTAACACAGGATAGCAATGGAAAGCTAGAAATCAACGTTTAGAATGCCCTGTCAGCCAGGGCAAGTGATTTGCCTGCAGAGACAGGGCCATTCTCCCCCATCTGGTGTTCACGGCATCATGCACCCAACTCTTTAACAAATACCAAGTACCTACAGTCACAGGCTTTAGTATTGTAACAGACCGCAAAACAGACCTGGGCTTTGTTTTCAGAGCTCAGTGGACAAGGCACAAAGTTTAGTCAATCGAACTGGCTACTGTTAAGAAGGAACAGTATGGGGTGCTCTGGGACTGAGATGATCCATGTCTTGCTTATTTACCAATATTCTCCTCCATGTACTCACCTCAAATAGTAGTGCAGTGGGAGATACTCCATCCCAGCATGACTTAGCTAGGATTTCTATAGCCAAGTATTTCTAGCATCTTGGGAGGTGAACGATTTGGAGGAACATGTTTTTGTTTCTACTGTTCCCTGTCTTCCTCATCTTTCTGTCATCTTCCTACCTATCCTTTAACACATCCACTGTTCAAATAATACTTTTCCAGAGAAATATCAGCATCACTGTCAATATCCTGATGGCTTCCAGGAATAAACATTCCGCTTCTCCCCTGAACTTCTGTGGCACCTTGTACCTGCACTGTAGCACTTATATTGTGGATGGAAATTTCTTTATCTGTTGGCTTTCCTCACCAGTCAGTGAACACCTCAGAATAAGGTTTTGCAGCTGAGTTGTTTATATTTTCAGTTCCAAACTCAACACTTTGCAAGTGACCAGTAAATGCTAAATGAATGAATGAACGAAGGTATGAGTCAGAAATCACATGGGCCCAGATTCATTCTTCTAGCTCAGAATAACTTGTCATTGAAATAGCAGTATATTGTCAACTCTTTTGGTCCTGGGTTACAATTTTCTATTGATGCCCATTTAATGGGGAAAGATATAACTATGTTTTCCTGTTGGGACATTTATTTATGAATCAACTACAAGTAGATAGGGAAAGAAGACAAGAAGTCAGTTGGTAAAGACCTTAAATGCCAAAGCTAATATTTTATCCTGGGAAACAGAATCCACCTCATCCTTCATAATATTATCTCTAGGCTAAGGAATGAGGAACCAGGTCTTATAGGTCATGAGCAAGCCAGAACATGCAGGGAATAAAAGTAAGTGGGCTAGACCCAAGACGGTACCAAGGGCCTAAAGCTATGCAGACTGCCCAGAGCAGAAGCACGTCTTGACCTTGGAGATAAAAGCAAGACATGAGTCAGAGCCAGGTGGTGGGAAAGAAGTTGGAACTAAGACAGGACTCAGAGTAAGCAGCAAGTCACACAAGAAAACGAAAACATACATCTTGGTGCAGGAAGCTCAAAACCCAGTGTTTTAGGAATCAGGAAATCCATAGAGATCAGAGCAAAGAAATTGATCCAAAACTTAAGCAAGGGCTCAGGAATGATAATCATGACACAAGCTGATGAGTAGTGTTGAGGAAGATGCAGAATCAGAGGAATCTCATGGGAGACCAGACATCCACACATCACTGCTAGAGACTTTCCAAGATGGCATGAACCGAGGCTTCCTGTCATCTCTGTACTTAGGAAATGTGCCATCCTTGCATTGCTCTTAGCCTCAGTTTTACTGTTCCTTGTACATAGCGGGATTGTTATTTCTATCAAGAAAGGCTGTCCTTAAGTTTCATAGGCTGTTACAGCATTATCTAATTGGCTCCTCCCCCTGTTTCAGATAGGTTAGGAAAGTATCTTTAAAACTACTTTATATGTCAAAGGACTTGTATTTAGAATATAGAAAGAACTCATCTTAATAAGGCTAACAACTTAATAAAATGGGCAAAAGGCTTAAATTGACATTTAGCAAAAGATATATGAGTGGCCAATAATTACATGAAGGTGGTTAACATCATAAATCATCAGGAAAATGCAAATGAAAACCTCCTTGCAAAACCACTAATACTACTTTATTCTCAATACCAAGGTGAGGATGAGAGACTGAAACACTCACACATTGCTGATGGGCATGTAAAATGGCACGACCACTTTGTACAACTGACCCAGTAGTAAAATTGCTGGGTATTTACTGAGGAGAAATCAAAATATAGACACAGAGGACTTGAACATGAATATTATTAGCAGCTCTATTCGTAATAGCTCAATACTGGAAACAACACAAACATCTATCAGTAGGTAAACAGATAAGTTGTGGCTTATGCATGCGATAGATATACTCAGCAATAAAAAACAAACTATTGGTTCAACACCATGGATGAATCTCAGAAACATTATGTTGATCAAAAGAAGCCAAACACACAAGAATTGATCTGTAACATTCCATTTATATGCAGCTCTAGGAGACACGTAACTGTGATGATAAAAATCAGAAAGTAGTTGCCTCTATTTAGGGAAATTGACTTACTTGCTTACTTGCTTTATTTAGGGAAATTGACTTACTTGCTTAAGTCAATGGGTGAGCCAGCGCTTGAACTCAGGCCAGCAGATCTCAGAGCTAGGGCCCCACTGGCTATATCACACTCTTTCAGCATAGAAGGAAGGTGAGGAAGAACGAGGCACAGCAGCCGGGGAGCAGAAGGAAGGCAGGTATCAGGAGAGAGGAAGGGCAGTAGTCACTGAGGTCACATTTCTGTCCTGGGCGTAAGGCTTATGATGGCACCTGTGATGGAAAGAGGCCCTTTCATCGTGGCCACCTGCAGGAGTAATTAGGAGGGCTTGACAGATGTGGGGGAGAGAAGCATCATCATCCAACTGGTGGAGCCTGCCAGTAGAGAAGGTATTAAAGTTATTTTCTTGTTGGTATCCACCTTGGGATTTTTATCATCATAGTCCCACCTCTCCTAGAGCTACATATCAATGGAATGTTACAAATCAATTCTTGTGTGTTTGGCCTCTTTTGATCAAAATAATGTTTCTGAGATCCATCCATGGTATTGAATCAGTTTGTTTTTTGTTGCTGAGTAAACAATAAACTTGTTTTATTCTTAAGATCTTTTAAAAATTCTTCATGACGTAATTAATACATATCCACTGCAGAAAGAAAATATACATAAAAGAAGAAAAAATTAAAACCTCCTATGGTCTTATTATCCCGTGATAATCTCTGATCTTTGTTTTTGTTTTTCAGGAAATAAAAATATTTTAAAACAAAAATGGGATCGTACTATATGTGCTGTTTTATAATATGGCTTTTAAACAACATATCAATGAACATTTCTATCAGAGGATATAATTTCTTTTTTCTTTTTTTTTTTTTTTTTTTTTTTGAGACAGAGTCTTCCTCTGTCACCAGGCTGGAGTGCAGTGGCATGATCTTGGCTCACTGTAACCTCCACCTCCTGGGTTCAAGCCATTCTCCTGGCTCAGCCTCCAGAGTAACTGGGATTACAGGCACCTACCACCACGCCCAGCTAATTTTTGTATTTTTAGTAAAGACGGGGTTTTACCATGTTGGCCAGGATGATCTCGGTCTCCTGACCTCATGATCCGCCTGCCTCGGCCTCCCAAAGTGCTAGGATTACAGGCGTGAGCCACCACGCCCAGCAGAGGATATAATTTCTCTTGGATACATAACATCCTATGGATGGATATATCCAAATTTGTTTAACCAAACCTCTCCTGGTACATATTTAAATTGTTTCCAGTTTTTAGTTTCTACCTACTACCCTCCTACAAGAGAACATCTTGAACGTAACACGTTTGCTCATTTTTTTTCAGTATTTCCTCAAGGAAAAGTCTAGAAGTGGAAATTCTAGGTCAAAAGGTTCGGACATCCTTAAGGAATTTAATACATAGTCAATTATTGTTTTTAAAATGGTTTTAGCAATTTACATTCTCACCAACAGTGAATGAATGTGTTATTCTGTGTCACCTTAACGCGTGGACTATAACTTTAGTCCCTGTGCTAAATACTACCTCTTTTCATTGAAACATAATCTGTCAGGATTAGAAATTAACCTTTGATGTTGTCTAGCTCCATCTCCCAAGCAATGCCTGAATTCCCTTTTGGATTCTGCTAGTTTGAAATGAAAACCATTTCTTTAAAAATGTTAATTTGAAAACATGATTGATGTTTGAACGTAGCAGAAAAATTGGAGGAGCCAGAAACGGAAGTGATCCTGGGGTCAGAATACCTGGGTGTCAGGGCTGACTGTGTCCTTGTCTAACTGTGTAATCACCAGCAAGTTGCTGATGTACCCTGTCTGGGTCTCTGTGTCCGCATATCTAAGACAAGGGGATTGAGGAGGGCCCAATCTCTATGTTGTCTTTAGTTATGACATTCTATAAATCTTCGGCTATTTAAAGCATTCCTTTCAAGGGCTGGGCTTGTAAATTAAGAGTGGCAGGCTTTTGAAATGCAGCTTGTGTCGGAAAGGAAACAAACCCAGCAGCTAGTTTGCTGCTGGATCAGAATTCTATGTTCTTTGTGAAGTAATAAATTGTGCCTTGGCTCCCGGATTATTCCAGGTTGCCTCGGGTTTTACGGAAGTGGCTTATTTCAGGAATGGTTCCCATTGCCGGAAAGTGGGTGTTAATTTGTACCTTGGCTATTTTTCAGGGCACACTCTGGCAAAATCCTGGCATCTTTTTCAGAGGATCAGCAAATGTAATGACCCGCGGGTTGCTCCCCTTGCAAGAGGACACATGCTCTATGTTAATACCCCAAATCAAGCCTACAGTCAGAGGCCTAGGTTTTATAATAGAGCACTTAGCCTGGGCATGCCAAGGGTTTTTGACCAAGTGGAAACACTTTGGAACATGTACCACAGGAAACAGGACAGCAGAATGCTTAGTAATGGCTAGCATTTCTGAATAAAGTATCTGCTCTCCACTGAAATGGGGTACAGGTGGTGTCCTGGAAGAGGAGATGAAGCTAATGGAAGTGAAGAAAGAATAAAACAGAATAACATTTGTATTTGGTGCTCCACAGCTTGCAGCCTACATTAACTTACTTTATTTACTCTACACAATGTCCCTGGGATATCATCATTGCCGTTTTGTCCCAGTTCACCCACCGAGCAAATGCAAATGGGTTGGAGTGTTGGTCGTGAGTGGCCCAGTGACCTCTGCAACAACCTCACGGCTTGACTTAAAATACCGTAAATCCCTGCTTCCTTGGCAGATGTTCGTAGTCTCACACCTCCTTTCTGTTCTATGACAATTGAAAAATTACTCTTTTTTCTTACTCTTTGAGTCCATAGTCATGAAGTCAAGCCATTTGCCAATCTTCAGTATAATGCAATTGGAAAACATTGTCTAGTCTAGTATTTCCCAAACTGTAATTTTTTAAATTAATTTCAACTTTTATTTTAGTTATTTGCACACTGTCTTCACAATTTATGCCATATCTGTGTACCACTTGTACCATTATTTACATTATTTGTTTTCAAACAAATTGTAATTTCATTTTTTTCTTGCTCTAAGAACTCTAGTAACTGAAATCATTAGTTTGATGTACTAGTTATAGTTTTCTAATATATGATCTCACATAGCTGTTAAAATTTTGTGTTCATTTTTTGTACTATATCTCACTTCTCCCTTTGGTATACAAACTATACTCTAAGAAATTAATTTAAATTAAATAAAATTTCAAAATTCAGTTTCTTGGTTGAGTTAGCTGCATTTTAAGTGTCCAGTTGACACATGTAGCTTAATGGCTGCCATATTGGGCAGGGCAGACTGAGAACATTCCAGCATCATAGGAGGTTCTATCAGACAAACTCTGCCTAAGGTTTGTCCAGGTCACTGAAAGCAGCAGACATTTCACTGCGTTCATTAGCCTAAGCTAGACTGACATATAAGATTATCAAAAGAAAGGTGAATTAATGTAAGAACTGCTAGCAAAAATGTCATTTAATAGTTTCTTTCATTGACCACTGTCCGAGTAAGCAGCAAGACAAGTCAAAGCATCTGATTTGATAATGGATCACTTCAGTCTGCTCTAAACCAGCTCTCTCAGGGCTCTCTCTTCCTCCATCCCCGCCACTACCATTCTCCTCTTCTCTCCTTCCGAGTCCATGTCTCTCTTCAGTGTGTGTCTATGTTTTCTCTTTCATGCTTCTTCTTCCTCTTGCTTCACCTGTGTGTCTTAACCTCACTTTCATTCTAGCACTCAGTCCTTTCTCTCCCTTTCTGCCTGTTTTACCTTCCCAACCTTCTGACACTCCCTCATTCAAAATCTGAGTATATTTGGATTTTGTTTTGTAAATTCTTCTTCAAGTACAATAATTTCAGGCCGAAGGACATTCTCATTTGTAACGTGAATAAGGGATGCCTCCTAGCAGAATTCCACAAGATGTGCTAAGTCTCACTGGCATCTCAGCCCTGTGTTAATGCATGTAAAACAACTGTTTCTGGCTCAAACCCCTGCCTGTTGCTCACTGATGTAACCATAACAAACTAATTGTTTTACTCTACTCTTTATCCAAAGTCTCCTTTAAAGAACAAGAGAATTTTGGACCATGCTTCCCTTTGAGCCTGTGGAAGAAGGCCCAAACCTTGCTCTGTGGCATTTGTTACCTTTCTTGAGCAGACTAAAAGCTAGGCATTGCCTTGAAGGCTTGATGCCACTTCTATTTAATCAGAACTCCTTCCAGAGCCATAAGGACACTGGAGGTTCCCACAGGGAGGGAAGTGCTGTGTACACATGTTTATGCTTCATCTGTTGTCCCTGAATGTCAAGGAGGAGAACTGACTAGACTGCCTTCTCTTTGTTTTAATTATCCAGAGATTCCAGAAAGGAAAAGAAAGGCCAAGTGGACCCAAGAGCCCTCAGAAATCCAAGATGCTCTGGGGAACATATAGGCATTGCTCAATTCCATAAAATAGACCCTTCCTTAGGAGTACAAAGTTGTACTCTTATACCCTTACTTCTTGCAGGGAAACCTGTTCGCTTCCCCCCACCTCCCCACCCCTTCTAAATGTACTCAACTAGGCTGTGGAAAATTTAATTCCTCTTGCTAATTTATATAAGAAGTTATGATACCTTGGAAATTTTTATCTGTCAGCTTTAAACCGTTATATATGGGATCCACTATTCTCAGGAAAATGATGTGATGATCTGCTCTCTTTCTCAGACAAAAGGAGGCATTTTTCCAAGAGTGGAAGTCCCCACCTGGGTGGGAATGATAGAGACATCCTCTGGCTGGGTTTTGTACTGCTCTAGACTCTGAAAAAGAGAAAGAGGTCCAAGTTTAAGTGACTTTAATCTTAGTAAAGTTTTAAGGTTTATCTTATCTCTGGAAAATAATAAGTATAACGATTTTTTGAGTGCTTGGAATTTGTAGAGCAGTGTGTTAGGTGCTGCTGTAAACACAATCTCATTAATCCTCATCACAACCCTGATGGGGTGACTCTCCCCCACCACCATATTCTAATTGGAGGAATTTGAGTCTCAGAGAGGCAAATAATTTCTCAAAGGCAACACAGCCAATAAATTGTCAAAGCTCGGATTCAAACCCAGGACAGAGTTTTGTGGTCTTTAGATCCATTGTTCTGTGTTGGTTTATTCAGCAAATGTTTACCGATGGTTACTGTGGCCAGGCACTGTTGCTCAGGGATTCCACAATGAACAATAAAGGCTCCACAATGAACAATAAAGGCAACACTCCTGATCTTATGGAGCATATGCCCTGGAGAGGAAAGACAGAAAAACAGGAAGTTAAAAAATAATATAACATTTTTTAACAATTAATAATGTAGCATGATAATTTCAGATGTTGCTAACGCTGTAAGAACAATAGATGGAGTAAAGTAATAGTGAATGTGGGGCTGCTTTATGTTGGGGGCTCTCAGAAGGATTTTGTGGGATGACTTTTGAACTCAGACCTGAGTGATATGAAGGATCCAGAATCCAGTGTTGGGAGCAGAGGAAACAGCAAGTACAAAGGCCCTGGGGTGATTGAGTGCCATGTCTTTCAGGAGCAGCAAGAAGGCCAGTTTTGCTGTGTAGCCGGTGGGGGTGAGTGACAGTATAAGGTTAGAGATGTAGACAGGCTTTGGATTTTGCTCCAAGTGTAATGGAACACCACAGGGTTCTAAGCAGAAGGAGTATATGATCTGAATTGTTTTTTTCTTTTTCTTTTTTGAAACAGAGTCTCTCACTCTGTCACCCAGGCTGGAGTGCAGTGGTGTGATCTCGGCTCACTGCAGCCTCCACCTCCTGAGTTCAAACAATTCTCCTGCCTCAGCCTCCCAAGTAGCTGGGATTAAAGGTGCACACCACCATGCCCAGCTAATTTTTCTATTTTTAGTAGATACAGGGTTTCACCGTGTTGGTCAGGTTGGTCTCAAACCCCTGACCTTAAGTGATCCAACTGCCTTGGCCTCCCAAAGTGCTGGAATTACAGGAATGAACCACTGTGCCTGGCCTGAATTAGTGTTAAAAGATAACTCTGGTTTCCGTGTATGGAATAGAGTGTACAGTAGCAAGACAGGAAGTGGGGAAAATAGAAGAACATGAACTTCAGAAGGGCTGGAGGTTTTTGAAGGAGGAGGATAGTGCTTTGGAAACAGCAAAGAGGGAGAGTGGGCGAGAAAAGACTATTTATCCTACCTCCAGGCCCTGGGTGTGAAGAGTGATCCTCAGGGGCCAGCCAGGTCCAGGGAGTGGGCAAAAAGCAAGGGAGCATTCAGAAAAGAAGATGTAGCTCTGGGGGAGTTTGCTGCAGCGGCAATGGTGGCAAATCACAGGATAGCTAGTTTTTATTGAACATGTACTGTCTGTCTAGCAGGATTCTAAGTGCTTGTTCTGCAATAGCTTGTTTAGTCCTCTTGGTAATCCTAAACCGTAGATACTATTATTAGTCCCATGTCACATAGGAAGCTGACACAGAGTTAAGAAACTTGTAGCAAGTAAGCAATATGGCTGGGATGGCATTACTAATTTCAGAAGTCAGAGTGGAAGGTTGGAGGGGTTGTCAGAGAGGGTTGGAGCGTGCTCTCACGAAGGAAGGGGTCGACTGGTCCAGAGATGAGACCCAGATGGCACACGTGACCTGGGAGGTTTTGATGGAGGTAAAGCTTGCTCCATGATGCCATTTGCCCTGAATGATACCAGAGGAAGTTTCCCCATCAGTTCAGACGGGAAGCATGGAGCCTAGGAGTGACTGCTCTTTCTTGAAGCTTCCCGTGGGGTGGGACCCAGGGCCTCCTCCCTGGGATTGCTTTCTTAGGCAACTTGTGGGGCAAGAAGAATGTCATCTAAACAAGGCAGTGTCTTGACTGCTTTTATCCCATTGCCCTTGAGTTGGGAGAATGTTCATATTTACACATTTCTGGGATATTTTACTGCAATTCTCATTTGGAGATAATAATAATAGATAACATTCATTAAGCACTGGCAATGTGTCAGGTTCTATGCTGAGCACTTGACATATAGTATTCCTTCAGTAAACACAATAAAAAGTCTTATGATATAGCTAGTATTCTTGCTCCCCTGTTTCTGATGGACTAACTGAGCTCTAGACAGGTTACATCATTTGCCAAAGTGCTATATAGTGAGTGGTGGACCTGAGATTTAAACCTTACAATGTGACACCGGAGGTTATAGCCTCACTCTGCTGCAAGTGAAGAAGACATGTTTGCTAGGTTTGGGCAATGCTGCCCAGGAAGTCTTTGTAAATCCCAAAAGAATGAGTGATTGTGGCAACACAAAGTTTGAAGACAAACCTTGAGAGTGAGTGGCTAGCATCTTCTTTCTGTGACCATACTGATTTTGAAATGTTGGTAGATCAGTTACCAGCATCAGAGATGAAACCTGAAGGTAATGGACTCAGAGGGGAAGACAAGGTTGAGAAAGGGGAAATTGTTGTGAATAGAGAAAAGGAAATTATTGGTTTACTTAACTTGTCTTCCCCTACTGGATCTAAAAGTAACAGTACTCAAATAATACTTTCTCTCCCTTTCAATTCCACTAAAAGAACACCTAAAAAAACTGCCTACTTCCCCTCTCTCCCCACAAACAAGAAAAATGGTGGGATTATGGATACTTTTTTGGTAAGATATTTTAGTTTTCTATTATTTTAAAAGAAAACAAATATGCGGGGTATTTTTTAAAGAAATTGTTTAAGTGAAAGAAATAAGATTCTTTAGGCATCATATTTAATTGAATTCATTTCATCCCCTTAAAAAATGTATTTTCTTTGACATTCATCTGTTATCCAAAAACATGGGCGGATGATCGGATCTCAGTTTTCTTAGGCTCTGTGATCCTGGCAGAGTTACTTTTTAATCACTTGTCTGTGTTTCTCCAACATGAAAATACCTAGACTTCCAAGGCAACTGAACCGTTGTGAAAGAGCCACGAACTTCTCTGCCAAATGGCCGTGAGTAAGAAGATGGCCTCTTGGGTTGCTCTCAGTCCCTCATTTGTGTTCTAAAAGAATTAATTAGCCTGTAGATCAATTTGGGTTTTGTTTTTTTTTTTACTTACCTGGTGGATCAGATTTTGCTGTCACTAAATGTGACATCAGACTCCAGATGCCAAAATGAGTAAGATGGGATCCTTCTTCCTAAGGGTTCGTTGTTTGAAGAAATTATTACAAAAATTGGTGAGGGGCAAATACAGCCACCTGTGTAGTGAGCCAGTCTGTGTCCCTTTGTGTCAAAAATTCCTTGAGAGTTAGAGCCCTAATGTCTTGCATGTACTCATATAAAATATTCATCATCAGCTCACTGTTACAATTTTTTATCCTTTTACACCCGATGTGAACTTGGGCTTTGCACCTCATGGAGGCATATACCTACGCTTTAAGTTGGGAGTGATGTTACCCAGAGGGACCACCTAGCTGGGAAATGGAAAGCCTGGCCTTGAACTTCTAATTCCTACTTCAGGGCACTTTCTTCTGTCTAAAATAAAATGCTACATGTTATCTGTATACTTTATTTACCGTTCCAAATGTTACTATTAATATTATTATAACCAAGTTACTTAGATTAGCTAACATGTTTTACTGAGGTGACATGGTAGAAGCAAACTCAAAACTGTCCTTTGGGCTGCCTCCCCAGTCCACGGCATGCACAGTTGTGGACAGATAATAGAAGACAGCTTCTCTCTGAAGGTATGGGCTTAGGAGTGGGGATGAGGGAGGTCCAGGACAATAAAAGGAACATGAAACAGCTGATTGAGTGTTTGGAAAAATGAAAAGTATTGCTCATTGATTGAAAGAGATGTAGTCAGAATTTCATGCTTAAGTGTGACGAATTTTGGATGTCATGGTTGTCACCTAATATGTGTCCAATAAACACATGTTGACTGAATGAATAAATGTGGGGTGGAGAAATACAAAGCAAGGAGAGCAAGCCAACCCAGAATCTTCCTTGACTTTCTGTGTGCCTCCTGGAATGGATGCTTTAACACCTCTGTGTCTCTAGGTAGAACTGAAAGGTGTCAGTGGCAGAGTTTATGGATATCTACCTTTAGATGCTATTTAGAGAAGGAGTAGGTTTTGTATACCTAGAAGGTGAAAAGGAAGATCTAGTAAGTTCAAAATAGGGAGACTTTGGAGCCAGCAACTTAATGAGACTCCAGTCTGAACCACGGAAAAGAGGTAGCCAAGCCTGTCTAGATGCCTCCCTTGCACCACATCAACACACATGTGCCCACCACAGTGAGGGTCCTCCTTGATTATCTGGCATGTCATGGGAACAGAGGAGTCAACACTTTGGAGTAAGTCAGCGTTAGCTCCTGTTGCTTCATTTTTAGAGATGAGTAAAAAGATGTGATGACTGCAGTAGCTTCCTATAACTGCTATAACCAATTACCACAAACTCAGTGGCTTGAAACAGCAGAAATCAATTCTCTCATAGTGCTGGAAACCTGACATCAAGAATCAAGGCCAACAGGGCTGTGCTGCCTCCTGAGGCTTCAAGGGAGACTCAATCCTGGCCTCTTCCAGCTTCTGTGGACTCCAGGCATTCCTTGCCCCTTGGCTGCATCCCTCCAATCTCTGGCTCCATCACCACACGGCCTTCTTTTCTCTCTGTTTTTCTTCTGGGTGTCTCATAAGGAAACATGCCATTGGATTTAGGGCCCACCTGGACAATCCAGGATTACCTCATCATGAGATCCTTAGTCACATCTGCAAAGACCCTTTTTCCAAATAAGGCCAGGTTCTGGGGATTGGGACATGAATATATCTTTTGGGAGACCACCCTTCAACCTACTACAATGGCACTGGTGTATTAGGAAGATGGTTTGACAGGGGGAATAAGATAGCAAGGGTAGGGTGCAGACACTGGGCTCACTGGCTGCTCTGGCCTTAGTCCAGGACAGGAGAAATAAGGAACTGGACCACAGCAGGAGCCACAGGAATAAAGAGGAGGAAATGGAAGCAGGAAATATTTCATGGAAGAATTTGCCAGAAGTTAGTGATAAATTTTGGTATGGTCAGTAAGAGAAAGAGAAAATCCTAATTTGACACCAAGGCATATTTTCCCAAAGTATGTGCTACAGAATGTTGGATCTTGGGATATCAGTAGCTATTGTGTGAGGGGAAAATGGTTCTATACGTAAAGACATTTGGGGGACACTGTATTAAACAGCATTAAACAGGTGTCTATCCTGCAGGATTTCT